GCGGTTCAATGGAAATATATATCAACTGTGAACTTGTAAATTTATAGGACTTTTACCTGTGTCCCTACACTTAAAGATATGTCATCACTTTCTTTATTAACTTTCTGCTGTCAGAAGCATAAAGCATTTGACTGAGCCCTGAATTCTTCTAAATCCTGCAACATATATTTTCCAAGTTTATAAATCTACTTGCTGTCACCTCTAAGCAGCTAGCATTTAACGCTTCCTAGCATTTTTTTCCACAAACTGCTGTTGATGATTTATCACTCTTAGTCTCCTAAAATCTAAACTTTTAACCTGTCCAAAATGGGAGTGGCTGTTGGAAAAAAAGTATCCCAGACTTGAACATGTTTACGGAGTTTCTGCCTGTGTCAGCATAGTTCTTCTCCAAAAATCTTCCATAAGCTTTTGCTACATCTTCAGAGCATGAGATGTCTCTGTGCAAGGACAACACAGAATTGCGCTCCCCAAATAGCGTTATTCACTGGGCAAGGCTGAGGATCTCACGGTGGAAGTGTTCTCCATTCCTACTCTGATTGCTTCTCTCACAAAACAGTAGTTTTCTGAGTTTATTTCATGATTCTGAAGGACAGCCATCTTGATTTTTAACATGATCTTCTGTTTTTCCCAGTGTAAATTAGTTTGACTTTTCCCACCTCTAATTACACAGCTCAGATGCATGCATTATGTGTATGATGAGATTGGGAAAATCATACTTCCAGACAGTCTCTCCATAATTTGGTTGTTTTTAAGCTTGTTTTACATTTTAAACCATATCAAGATGTCTGCTGCCTCTTATGAAACTTCTTTGTGTTTAAATATGTATATGTATGTACACACACAGAGGGTACACTTTGAGAGGAAAAGTTCTGTATAAACCATGTTGGATTATTTGATTTTTCCTATGAAAAGAAAAATGGGGACTCTGTCTTCAAAATCCATAAAAATGCATGTTTGTTTATCCAGAAGCCTGGAGAGGCTTGTTCTGTATCATTCCTGTCTCTTCATTAAATATATTAGTCATTCTTAAGGAAAAAAGTATTATTGACTTGAGTGATTAGAAAAAGCTCTTTCAGAATCAATTTAGCTGATAAAGTAAATAAATACTTAAATGGCTGGAGGCAAAAAAGAAAAAGAAAAACTAGGCAAGCATGGCTTATTTTGTGTCCTTGATATGTGTGTAGGTATTAGAAATCAAGCTTTGTGGAACATGTATTAAATAATTATGATTGGTACATATGAATAAATACTGCATAAGTTACAGGCAAATTGCAAATTAAGGGTGTATTCAGGAGTATAAAGCATCACTAGAAGTGATCATCATCTTTTCGGTTTATCTCAATATAGAAGTTGAAAACAATGTGCCGCTTTTTGCACACATGAAGGGGGAAGTTGGGTTTACTTTTGTTGGGTTTTTGGGGTTTTCCTTTTTCTTCAGTTGGGGAAAGCATCTTCATTCTCCTAATTTGTTTCAGTGTTTCAGGATAAGAAATGTTGTATTTTTCTGGTATAATGCAGTCTCGTAGAACCAGGCACCATTTCTGTTGGACCCGCAACATAGCGTTATTAAAGTGTTCAGCACTGAAAAGAACACTTTCACATACCTTGTTCAAACACCTTTAAGGCAGAATATATTTAGAGCTGTGAATTTTAGCTTTCACCCTTTAAGGCTGATGCTTATTAATATTAAGTTATGTACTTTGCCAGAATTTTTTTTCTGTTAATCACAGCGTTGTTTAAAACTGAGATAATTGCTATATCGAATATTCTTGCCCTCTGTCAGTACGGAGATAATGATGATGTAAATGCATTCATCCTTCTGCATCTCATAGTTTAGCTGCAATTTTAGAACATAATTTTATGCATCTGTTTGGGAATTTTGGTTAGAAGAGGCAGCACCATGCAGTCTTTTGTAGGACTTGGGACTGCACTGTACTAAACATTGTCCATACGTACCGACCAAAGGGATGGGATAATCCCCAAATAATTGAGGTTGTTAAGATTCTGTGGAAATAACACCATTACCAGTAACATGCAACACCCTTCAGTTTGTGTATTGGTCTTAATTCATGCATCTGCACTACAGTATATCTTAGAAACCTGACCTTTTCACATAACTGTAGTAGCATCATCAATGATTTGCATTATAAGTAGTCTGGAAAGATCTATACAACACTGTTGCACTAAAAGCATGAATCTGCCACATAGATGTAGGTTTTAACTGGCAGGAAAACATCAGAGCCGTGGGGAAACTGGAAAAATTGTAGCAAGCAGATAGCAATAATATCAAGCTTGTAATTAGCTGTACTGTGGGCTAATGTTGCCTTTTTTTCCAGTCCCGGGTACCTTCATTTGCGAACCAAGTGAGGAGACGTGACTTCGTATCATTTATAAGTCTGTATTTTCTTTATTTATTAATATTTTTGTTTGACTGTCTTGACCTTCCAACTAAAAATCAAGTTTGACTGTCATGAGTGAATTTTCTGAGTAGAACAAGGATACAAACAGGATCTGTGGATAAAGGTGTCAATTTATGTTTGCAAACTTATTGTGAGATTATGTTACCTCGGTTATGTCTCTTTGTTCAACGTATGTTGTTATTTTAGCCAAAAAAAGGCCAAAGATCATCAACTAAAGTGCATGTAGAGTAGAGCTGCTCCTGTAAAATTGATGATCCGTCCAATTATTTATCTATAGAGGCTGCTGGGAAGAAACGCAACTATCTCAGTTCTCAGACCCCTCTGCTAGGTTGAACTTCATGGCTGAAGGTTTAATCCCTAAGTGTCATATCAACAATTCATTCTGTGATATTCTGGCTGACATGCTCTCCTTCCTTATTTATTGATGTCTTCAGTCATCGACAATGAGAGGAAAATACACTATTCGTCAAAGTGACGGTGTTTTACCCTCACTTACAGTTGATGCTGCTGTCACATTGATGGTTGGAAAATAAACTCAATCATTATAAAAAGCTAAGAGTGTGAACTTGGCAGTGACAGGAAGAAGATGAAAAAAACCCACAGCAACTTGCTTAAAATTGGTGTAATAAAAATAGAGCTGTTTCCTATAAAGATATTTTTGAGCTTTGTTTGTGAAATACCAAGCCATTTTAGCCATTTACTTTATAGTTATTCCTTTGAAGGAGAATCTGCTCCTCGCACTCCTTTATGTCTGTGCAAACATACATATAATTTTTAGCAATAAATATTTGTTATCATTCCACCTCATGCTACATGGTTAGTAATTTCTTGATATTTTACCTCTCTGTTTTTAAGGGATTTTGCTGTGTTTTTTCTTCTCCAGATTGCACTGAATGTGTGTATCTGTTTCTGTATTACAGTATTTTGAGTGCTTTAATGAGCAATAAGCTAAATGTAGTTTCATCCAGTGAGTACTTTGACATGCAACATAGGCAAAGCCCTCTTGAATCACTTTCTTCGGCTACCATTTGTGTAGCTGTACTGCACCTTACAGCTTTCGTAACTCAATAACCACACATCTTACCACATTTCACCTTTGGGAGGCATTGTATATACAGCTAAAAGTAAAGAGCAGCAAGCCAAGAGGGACAAGATAGCATAATGAGGATGTCAATTTGTGGTCAGATATCTGAGGAAGTATTTATCTTAGTTGTACCGTACTTGGCAACCGATAGAGAAATATATATGTAATGAATTTCCTTAGATTTTATTTGGCAGAGTGTGTACCTTGTGTTAAATGGATTTAGGAAAAAAAATTGCTTGTCTCAAATTTTTAACATTTGAGGTGATTCTACTTTGGACTCTTTCCTGAAAATGGGCTGTGTCTATTATAAAAATTAGAATATTCATGTTTGCTCTACTAACATACTGGTGAATTTTTAATGATTAGTTTTCTTGAGACTCCTCAAATAATGACATTTTAAGATCCCACTCATTCACTAGAACAAAAGCAAGGCACGATTTTTGTTGTTTATGGAAACAAAATCATGGTTTACTCAGTTTTGGTGCGTATCTCTGGGCAGGCTAGCTAGGTAGCCTGAATGCATGTGCACAGAAATGCGGTTGTCTCACACGTGCAGTGTGTCCTGAGGCAAGCTGCAGCTGCTTTGGCGGCTGGGTCTGTTTCCCCATCTGTAAAATGGGAATGATTCAACTTATTTTTCTCCTTCAGGGAAATACAGAGAGGGTTTCTTCATGTTTTTTTAGAGCTTTGAAGATTAAAATCTTTTCTCTAAACTTGTTGCTAATATTTCAGTGTAAGTGAAGCTGTTTGAAGAGTAAAGTTTTGGCACCTTGTGTTGTCTTTGTAGCATATCTTGAGGCCTCTCCACTATAATTTTGCAACCTTTGGTTCAGCATAAGCTGTGGAAGAAAACAACTCCTGTATAAACAAACGGTGATGACAATAGATTAATGTATATGTCTGCTATTAAAAACATCAGGAAATCCATTACAGCGTATCTCTAAACAGCCAGAAATAATCCATGATAGAGCAAAATAGACACTAGTAACTGGGCTTAACCTGAAATAGCTTTTATTTAAGCATCAGTGGTAAATGCTGAGATGCACAGAGAACGGATTTCTTCTAATATGACTTCTCAGTGTCTTTAGAGGTGTAAGGATGGCTGGTGATTTGGCAAAGGCTTCCTGGCTGCCTTCCTAACACAAGGAGTGGGACGAAGGAGCTTGTGGGAAGTGTGAACACCCAGCACTTAGAGCAAGTCTGAAAGTCTGCTTGCCTTTGTTTCACAGACCAAAGGTCAGTGTCAGTTCCCAGAGCCTAGGCAAGCTCAAGAGATTGCAGGGGGACAGCTTCTGGTTTGGTTGCTACTTCTGCAGTTTTACGTTGCTTGAAAAACTTAAAATTTAGTATAATGATGTCTTACTCTTTGCAGTTAGAAGAAGTGATTAGGCTACCACATACAGTAAACGCTGTTGTTACAATCTAACCTGGCATTTTGAGGCCTTACAGTCACAAGCTGTATTTTTCATGATTTACATTTTGATTTTTTAATGCAGAGCAGATTGGACAGGAGATGCTGGAAAACCTCAGCCATGACAGAGAGAAGATCCAGCGTGCTCGGGAGAGGGTAAGTGTGGTAATGAGTAGTTCCTGGTCTTGGATTTTATTTGCTTTGGGCAAGTTCTCTGTACATGCAAAAATAGTCCAGCGTATTGATTACTTCCATATAAATCAGCTGCTATTGTGAGATGCAATCACCATCTGCAGCAAAGCACTTAGAAAGTGTCTCTTGCGGGCCCAATCCTGCAAAGCCTCTCCTGCAGGCAGTCACACTGAAGTCACCAAACCCGCTGTCAGGATCAAGCTTTCCATCACTGATATCGCAGATGAGTCAGTTTTCTGTCCTTTGAAGGGTTTGTTATAGTGTTATAGCAGTGACTTCTTGGACTTTCTATGAAACAAAGTTCATATCACGAATTAGCTTCTAATAACTGATCAGCCTTGTAGCTGCAAGTGCTGGTAGTTACCTCTTTAGGCAATTCTGTGTGAAAGAACAGGTAGTGGTTTCTTACATCGCTGCTCTGTCACTGCACTCCAGATAACATATCTATGTCATTTTTGGCTCGTGTTGCCTCCATAGGGATCATCTGCTCTGTAGGGTTAGTGAAGATGCCCCGAACCCCATCCCATCCAATGCACACAACTTCTCTGAGCTTCAATCCAAGAAATTTGCCTCCCTGGTTCTGATTTCTGCTGATGGAACCAGGAGTGATAGCACCTGTGACTTTCTGTCCATGGCACATTGATCAGATACTTGCCTGAGTGTCCAATTTTGCCAAAGCGAAGTCCTCCTACAAGCCTCTAGCTGACCAGTGCCACCCCAGAAAACTCCTGCATCCATCCCAGGGAGTTTCTTCACCTGGATAGCTTTGACTGGTAACGCCCCATGTGATGGCTCCAATGAGGAATCTTCTATCAGCTGCACCAGGTGCTTTCTGAAGTCCTGGGCATTTGCTACTTTAAAATATAAAGTACAACTAAATCATTAAACGTAACTAAGGATTGAGAGCTTTAACGAGTGTTATTCAGGCAACTTTGTGCCTTATTTCACCTCCACTCCTCACATCGCTTGTGACTCCTGGGTCTGACATGGTGTTCTGTTTCTACCTGCACAAGTAAAACCTAGGCGAAGGAAATGAGTACCGTGTATCCCTTTCTGCTGATCCTAAAAATCCTCGGGAAAGAGGGCCTGTGGTTCTGATGACTCTGTGTACACATGGTTCATAGCATAACTTTTCCTTTTCTGTGCTTTCCAGCTGAAGAGCAAATTTCTTTGATGGCAAAACCTGTAAGCTGCAAAGAGCAAGATTAAAAATAAGGGTATTCTAGGAAAGTGTATCCCAGCGCACTTCAGTGAAAGACCTCTTGTCATAAATGGAAGGTGTCAAATTCTGAATTTTTATCATATTCCCATTAAAATACTTTGCCCAGGGAATTCAGAAAAGTTTTCCACTGGAGCTACATGAGTGGACCTGCCCCAGCTGTCTATATACGCAGATGTACAGGCAGGGATGGTCTTGGATAACCTAGCAAGTTTTCCATTTTCTGGAGATTTTTTAAAGACCAGGACAGAGGGTGCTCTGTTGATGCATAATAGCTTTACACTGAATACATGGCATTATCTTATCAACCAGGGAACAGACTTGTCTTCTGAAAGTCAAATGTCAGCTGGAGTATGATGGTCAGTTCTTAGCAGTTCAGTCTTGTGAAAATTAGGAAGATTTTCTTATGAGCAAAATTCAAATGAGTTGGTGTCTCTATAGTTTGGTTAAATTTACATGTAGGAGTTTTCTGGTCTATAGAGTAAAACTTTTTATATTTTTTTTTTAAGCCAAAGAGGAGGGATGAAAGCTCTGCTACAAGGCAGATAGGTTAACAGGACTATACAGGACTCTAAAAGATGCAACTTTTTTAGAAAAACTTCAAATTAAAACATGTCTAAGGCAGACAAGATATTAACATCAGCATCTTGTTCACCTTCCTTCCTTTCTTATTATTCTTAATATGATCTTTTAAAAGCTTTCATAAACACCGTGTAGATTTGCCATTGCTAATATCAAAGCATATTTCAGAATGTTTTCACTACAGCACTTCTGTGAAACGAGGAGGTGCCATCATGTGCCATTTAACAGGTTTGCATGCCACCGGTTCTTTGGCTTCGGCAGTGCGCTGGCATTGGTGAAGAAATGATGGAAGCACTACAATCCGATAATTCAGTTTTAAATAAAAACAAACTTACAGTTTGAAACTCTATGTGTTGTTTTTTCTGCCAGTGCAGGAAGAAAAGGTGTTTTTTTTTAGTGTTCTCTTGGGAGGTAGCTAGAGTTCTTCCAACTATATGTGTACATGTTTGTTTCTTTTTTAACATTTCTTTCGCTTATTTTGTGGTTTTTTTTGATTACCATAAAAATATGAGGTCGTCTTGCTTAGAGGAGTTTATCAAACCTCTAAGATTCAGCTTCCCCTTCCTAACTATCAGTACTGATTCTAGCTGTCAGGTAGAATCCTGCAGCAAGAGAGGAAAGTTAGGATCAAACAAGTAATGGTAAAAAGGAGAGAGCTACTTTTCTGTGAAAAGGGAGGAGAAGCCCCAAGTGTTAAACACATCTTTATGAATAATAAAAGACCAATGTAAAGCATACATTTGTACTTCAGATTCCCTTCTAGCATAGATAAGAACTCAGCTTTTTAATGAGCCTTTTAAAAATTATTGTGACGTTTTTTCTTCTGTTACTTGTGTCAAACTGGGCTAAACTGCTTTTCTGGAGCTTGAATTGTCTAGATGAATCAGGAAAGAATGAGGGAATGTCCTCGCCGGAATATAATGCTCATCTTTGTTCCATCACAGCACATAATTACAGAGATCTGAGAGTCAATGCAAGCCTTCCCACTGAATAGGCTATTGCTAAGAGCGAGTCTTGGTTGGTGTTATCTGATCCCAGCTTCTACTTGGTATTTTCTTAATACCTTTTACAAGAACAGGGAGGAAATTTGTGCAAAAAGGTTGTGTGTCATTGCTTGCAACTACCGATTTCAGTAACAAAAATGAAATCTGGTAGCAAATGTCTACAGTATTGGGCTCCAGAATAGAAGCTGGTTTTAATATTGTTGCTATGCATATATTCAAGATATAATACTGGTTTGTTAATGGTGAAGGTGATTTGTTAATGGAAGACTGCCACTTGATCTATTTATTGCACAGGATGCATTTTGTCGGCTACAACAAAGTTTCTTTAGTAAGTAGTCAAAGAGTCAGGTAATCCTTTCGATCTGATTTGATAATGAAGAGGTAAATATTCAGCTTTCATAAAGAGAAGAATGTTTTTATGTGTGTGTACACACAGCTGTGTTTCCGGGCATGTTAGAGACAGTGGTCCCTGCTGTTTCATGACTGATAATCGTTACGTTATCATTTACAGTAGATTTTGATGTCCCACTGGTTCCAAGGTCTCTAAAAGTCAAACCTCTACCAGTAGCAAAAGACGCAATAGAAGAGCAACTCCATTCTTCCAATACCCTGCTTCATTTCTGGACTTCCTTTTGTGGGGCACTAATAAACACAAAAATAGAGGGGAGGTTTTAATCTCTTTTAAAAAGCAATTGAAGTAGTTGCTCTATATTAATATGGAGTTCATTTGCTTCATAACTTTTCATCTCCCCAATTTCATTTTGTATTCAGTTGTGCTTTTACCTATTTTTCAAGATTTTTGAGAGCTGTAGAGCAAGTCAGCTAATGAAGTTTAGCTCTAAATGTAGGTTTCATGTGTCCTAATAAACTAAAAAAATGCTATTTTCAGTGAGTGGGTGTTCCTTACATGTGAAAATATATATTACACAGCTATGCCTTATGTACATACTACACACTGTTCACAGAGTATTTGGGCATCCATCCCAGCGGTGGCTTCTGCAAGGTCGGTACAGGTTTTATATTTAAGGGACAGTATGGGCATTTCTCTTTTACACAGAATTGGTAGAGGGACACAGTTTTCTATTTCTGTTTTTTCTTTAAACTACTGTCTTTGAAAAACAGTGGAAGAAGGAGATGTTTGGTTTTCTTTTCACAAAGCATCAGGAATACAGCGCGTGGCTGTCTGTTCATCCCTTGATGCCCTCACTAATATACATAACCAATACACGTACACACATCAGTGGGAATTATGGATACCAAATTCTATAGCTTCTACCTGCAACTCCTTATTTGTAAAGCTTTTCCTGTTTACCCTGGTTTGTCTTTGTTGCCTCAATGTCTTGTCTTCTGTGGGTTTCATCTTTATGTAAGTGAAAACCAGACAAACCATTTTTAAATTTCAGAGCTTTGATGGCTTGCTTACATGTGAGTTTGTTGTGGGCTCAACCTGAAGTTAATTCACTCAGCTGACAGTGGAAATACCTGTCCTTTGTACAGAATGGAGTGCTTGTGCCTTTTGCCTGTAACGGGACTCTTTCTCCCCAGCTCAGAGAAACAGATGCAAACCTTGGGAAGAGTTCCAGGATTTTGACGGGAATGTTACGAAGGTAAGGCCAAGGTAGGGACACTTCTGCTCTTTTTTCTCTCTCTCTCTCCCTCCCTGCCTTTATTTTTAGTTTTAATTCACCCTCAGTATTTTGCTGACGTACCTGACTTTTTTTACACAGGCTGCTGTGCAGAATGTCTTCAAATGACTGCTGGTAGTGAAGCAGGCATGGTTAGATACCAGGCTTTATCACAGCAATGGGAAGTTTTCTGTAGCCTGAGGGACTTGCTCTTTGCTCAGTCATTTCTCATCTTTGTTTCTTCATATTTGGGGTGGTTTTTTTTATATGTGTGTTCTAAAATTAAGCTTTTTGATGATGATTTCCTCTGTTCCTTATTCTTGAGTGATTTTGGTTGTGTGAGGGTTTTTTAGCTGTTAGATTTTAGGTGAGAAAGCTTGTAAATATTTTGGGGCAGTGTAAATTTACACGCAGAGAAAAGCTTAATATGATCAGTTCTGCCTGAATAGGTGGGGCAGACACATCGTCAAACCTTGAGGTTTTAGCATGTTTCTTCCATGCTTTCAATGTTACGAAAATTGTTCCTGGGATCAAAGTGAGGTGATACAGAAAGGAAAAATTTGCAACATCCTAAAAATGTATGTGAGACTGCAGGGAGGGCATTACCCAATGATTACTATCCACCTTAAATTTACATTGATACTTTCCCAGACAGATTTTCTGAATTAGTGGCATCCCTGGATATTTGTTCTTTATCCAGTGAAACAGCACCTGAGCTTCTCTGTGTTGTCCATATTTCTGTATACATTCAGCTTCCTGAAGAAGAAAAGCATCCCTCTAATAGGTGGTGCTGGGTGCTACAAAAACACAGTTTTAAAAGAGTTTAGAGCATCCTCTAAAGTGTTCAGTATGAAATTACCATTGCCTTGGACTTTTATGTTGCATACTTGCTTAATGCAATTTGCTTATGAAATAAAAGAAAACAAGAAGAGAAAGTTTTTAGCGGAGTTGTTGATTTGTCTCTTGGCTTGGAAAATATCAAAAACAGAATTTAATAAGTTGTTCTTTAGTGCAAGCTTTATCTCTTCATAAATCTCCTCAGAAAAATATCTTTGTTAGCTCCTTGTATACCCAGCTGACAAAAGTTAAAATGACTGCACCTCATGCCTTCATTCCACAGATTTCTTACAATTCCGAGTCCAAATTGTAACACATAAAATTCTCTGATTAAGAGTAATATGTAAATGACACAGGCTAAATTCAAAATCCATGGAGAAAGGAAGTGGCAATTGAAAGGGATGGTTCAGTGCCTGTAGACAATCAAAATAAACTATAAAAAAAAATGAATGAAAGAGAAGACACAACCAAACCCAACATTCCCCGGGAAGGGCTCTGCGACATGAGCTGTAACGAATATTCTGCATATGTCTCCATTTTGTCAAATCTCATTAAAGGGGTTTCTTGCTTTATGTCAATTGAGCTGTCCAAAAATCATTCATCATTTTAGTGTAAAAAAACCCATGCAGTTATTTAAATAATATCATATTAATGTTAAAGTTCAGCTGTCATTTAATAGTATGGCTTAATCAGACATAGCATTTAGGAAAAATAGTTTTTTCGGGCTTTACTTGACTTTCAGGATGGCAGATTCAAATAAGGATTTATGGGTTTCTAAACCAATGTATTCTTTCCATGTTTATGCTTGAGGTACCTCAGCCTTTTTTGCAGCACCCTGTAGTCTGTTATTTTCAATAAAATAAAGTATCTCCTCGTATTGTGTTTGAATACATTTGCAAGTAATTTGGAGAAGCTGAAACAAAAACATATGCTGTAACCTTTGACTTTGTTTTGTGTTTGGGAATCACAGTTAGGAGTCCTAGTTTATAAGTGTTCCATAAGCCAAATGAAAAATATGATCTTTCTGAAACATACTTGGGCTCTTCAGACAAAAGGATTATGTAGTCAGACACCAAGATGGCATGTTTCTGTCTGTCAGAAAGGACTTCCTGGATTTCCTTTTTCTTTTAACAAAAATTCTGGGCTGAGTCACCCATCTGGATGAAAGGCAGGTTAGGATTTAAACACGATTCAGGTAAAGGTGCCAAAAGAAATGCCTTGGCATAGATGCAACTTGCAGCAGAAGATTCTCAGGATGTTATTTAAAACCATGTAATAGGTAGACCTGTGGTGAATTTAATTTGTTTATGACTGTTGGGTAGAAGGATCTAGCATTATCCCAGACCCAGCATCATCCCAATGTTGTTTAGTCACAAAAATAATCATAAAATACAGACCCCAAGAAAGCAGCACGAATTAGATAAATACAACTGTAAGAAAAATAATTAGTAGAGATTGGCAGTTGTGTCCTAATTTCTGCATACTTCAGTACATACCACATAATGTTTCACTTAATTACTGGAACCAATAAAGAAAAATGCTGGAGGACTATTCTTCACATTATTATACAGAAAAGGTAATGTTAAACTGAACATTGCTCAACTTAGTTGCTGCTCCCACGATATGTATCTGTTGATATGCTTGAAGTCATGTGCCAGACTAACACCCTGTGCATCAAATTAATGCCTATTTCTATTTTTACCGTCTGGGAAAGGTAAAGCAGCATCTCTTTTGAATCTGGCCAAATCTATTAAGAGATTAGATATTTAAATAGCTACAGGGCTAACTTACTCCCTTTGTATGACCTAAATTCCCTGGCCATGTATTTGTGCGTAAAATGTTCTGGAAATAGGGAATAAAAGCGGGAAGAGGTTTTGTAGGTTGCCATGGCTCACTAAGGAGATCAGTGGCAGAATAGAGACAGGTCTTCTCAGTTCTAGTGCTCTAGCAACTCCAGCCTTATGTACTGAAATTTGTTATCTCTGGGTATTTGGGTAAGGAAATTTTTTGTAATAAATATTTTAAAATATTCTCATTTGGAAATGACCTATACATTCATAATCTTCTTTTTTTTTCTGTAAATAAACCTACCCAGATTCCGCTAAACTAGTAGATTCCACTTATGGTATTGCGTTACTAGGATAATGTCAGCATGTTGATAATGTCAAAACATTAATCATTGCCTTTTACATGTATAGTTCTGGACATCCTGACATTTATGACTCCTGTTTAAAACTGTGAGACTATAAGCTCAGTTACAGAATTTTCAAATAACAGGTTTTAACATAAGGAAATGGCATCTTCTGCGGTCATCTGTGATATTGCCATCTCAGACATCTATCCCTTGGCCTCTACCCCAGTGTGAACTGGGGAGTGCATAGTGTGTTAAAAAGAATCAGAAAAGAATATGTTCTGAAAGATCTTCAGTCTTTTGCCCATATCCTAAGCCGATAGCCTAGAAAAGCTTTCAGGAAAAGAATTTGGACGGTCTCCAAGCCACATACAGCCTAGTGGGAAACAAACCAACCTAAAAGCAACCAGATAAAATTTTCAGTAATTTGAATCTTTATCCAATTAGTACATAAATTCTATCTATCCCCTTTCAAATTGCAGAAAAGTATTTTGCAAAAACAGCTGCTACCTTCCAGAACAATGTTTTGTTCTGTCTGTTTCACCAGGAAATTTTTATGACAAAAATTCTCTTTCAATCTTCAGATTTCAGTCTTCTGAGTTGTTATCGATGATACTTTGAGAAACTTGTGAACACATCTGCTCTTATAAAAGAGACTTTTAAAATTTGATTTCCAGTAGGAGAAACACACTAGCTCCAGCTGATGGAGATGAAGCGGTAAGCGTTCAGCTCTCAGGTGACGGGTTACATGATTTGCCAACAGCTGCATGACCGATGCGACTGTAGTCAGAAACAGGGAATGCCTCCCCCTCTGTGCTAGTTGTAGTCAAGCTTCTTCACCCTTCTTTCCAGGGAAGTTCTGGCAGTCCTGCTTCCCGCGTTACTTCTAGTCGAACTTCCTTGTACTTCTGAGCGCCAGGATAGTCCAGACTTTACAGTTATTTTTCAACGTTTCATAGAATCACAGGACAGTTTAGGTTGGAAGAGACTTCTAGAGGTCATCTGTTCCGACCTGTTCAAAGCAAGTCTAATTAGAGTAGGTTGCTCAGAGCCTTCTGCAGTCAAGTTTTGAACACATCCAAGGTTGGAGATACCAATGCCTCTCCAATCAATCAGTTCCAGTTGCAGTTGAAATAAGCAATTTTTCCAGATATCTAACTGAAATTTCCCAGCATCCAACTTATGTCCATGGCTTCTGATCCTAAGCAGAAGTGCTGTAAAACATAAGTGTTTTAGAATTGGCCTTCAGAGTTTGGGCCTGGATTGCAGTCATTCCTAGCAGTTCTCAAATAACCTTAGCAGTTGTGAAGAGGTCCCTGTGCTCATTAGGCTGAGATGACGTTCAGTGTAGGGTAATTCTTTAAACAGGGTGTGGGGTGCTTCACCTCCACCCATTGAACTCGTCAGGTGGCCATTAAGCATTGGACGCACAAGAATTTTATAATTTGCTTTCTCACAGTCCTAGAGAAGTGAGAAGTTAAGTATGTCTGTTCCACCTTCTGTCTTAACTATGAAGCCCACATTTCCATATGCAGGAGAATAGCAGCAGGGACACTCGTGTCCCTGTTGAGGCAAATCAAAACAAATAGTGAGTGTTATCACTGTCTTTTTCCCCTGTTTCCCTACCAATCTCTATTTTTACCCCCAAAGGTCCATAAAAAAGAAGGTTTTCTTCTGACCTAAAGCCTGTCTCAAAATCAGTCATAATAGGCCGTGACTGTGGAGTCTCTGCAGGTTTCTGGAGGAAGGGCTTCCTATCGCAGATGCTGAGTGAGGTTTAACATACAGTAAGATTTGCCTTGTTTTTATGCTAATAGAGGAATTCCTCTTTCCAGCAGGAACTTTGCATATTTGGTTTCAAGCCAAAGAGAAGTTCAAGCAGGAATTGTTTCAGCAACTTTTTGGTACATAAATTTCTATTTTTACTTCAAGTTGTATTTCTATACTGAAAAGTGATTGAAAAGGCAAATCCTTTAACAACATGTCTGCTCTATGTTGAATATTTACAGCTGCA